CCCCCGGCGGGGCCGCCAGCCTGTGGCCTCCTCCAGCAGCTGCTTTTGGCTCCCGCACCCCCTTCTCGTCCCCACAGAGGCTGTGGGCTCTGCTCAGACCGGTCCGTTTCCTGGCCCCAGTCTAGCGGACGGGGCCGCCTGGTGCTGCCTGGACTCCTGGCCTCTAGTTTCCACCTGGCCCCTGAGTTCCCAGAGTCCCGTCTCCTCTCCTGCCGTGCCCCCCTCGGGCGCAGGTTGGATCCTGCTGCGCTGCGTTGCCCGCAGGGGCTGCATATAAAGGGCTGAGAGCCCCCCCGGGGAGCGCGCCGAGGGGACGAGGCCGGTGATCTCCCTGCGCTCTCCCTTGCAGAGCGTCACAGGTTGGATCCTGCTGCGCTGCGTTGCCCGCAGGGGCTGCATATAAAGGGCTGAGAGCCCCCCCGGGGAGCGCGCCGAGGGGACGAGGCCGGTGATCTCCCTGCGCTCTCCCTTGCAGAGCGTCACCGGGCACTTCTGTGCGCCCCAGGAGGACGAGGCGACCGTCAACTGCGGCTTGGACCAAAACCAGTTCGTTATCTCGGACAGCGCGTTCCCTGGCTCCACCCGGGTCCTTCTGAAGGTCAGGACTGGGGGACATGTGTCTATATGGACGGACTAGCGTCGAGTGAGCTCCCAGCGGCTGGAGCAGGGGACTGGGAGTCAGGACGCCAGGTTCTCTACTCCTCTCTGGGAGGACTCCTGGCTTTCTTCCTGGCTCCGTCACTGACTTGCTGCGTGGCCCCCCAGTCGTGCCTCAGTTTCCCCACCTGCAAGCTGAGAACAATCCGGTACTATCTGTAAAGTCCTCAGTGCTCCTCGGATGGCTGGTGCCACCTAACTTACAACAAGAGCCCGGGGTGTTTCGGGGAGGGAGAAGGGGCTTAGCCCCGGTCCGTGCTCAGGCAAGTAGAGTCCGTTCAGAGCTCCGAGGCGCCACCAGGTATGTAATTCAGGCTACTGTGTGTCTCGCGGGTGGGTCTGAAATGACCCTCTGCTGAGCTGCTTGGCTGTCGCGCTGCACCCCAGAGGGGACTGCATTTCACAGCTGCTGCACCTCGGAACTTGGTGAAGCTCTTTGGGATGAAAGGTCCGACGGGCCTGAGGCTGGAAGCTGTGGTCTCCGGCTGAGGCCTGCTGTGACTGTTACCAAACTCTCCTTTTCCTGCCAGAGACCTTCCTTTTGTCCCATCAAGCACCTGGAGGAGGGGCAGGCTGCTGCGCTGCCGGAGGAGCTCCGAGGCCGCGGGGTGGACGTGGGGGTGGCCGTCCTACTGCAGTCCGTCGACAGGAGAGTCTTGCTGACCCTTCCCCAGCCTCTGGGTGCCCCCAGGTGACAGAACGAGCCTGGTTTAGCTCCAGCAGAGCCAGGGGGCGGGCCCTGCATCTTGCTGGGTTCCTGTCGGTGGCCACCCTGGCCCACGGTCAGGTTCCGGGGTCACTGGAAAGGGGAGAGGGATGCTTAGAGGGAAGAATCAGAGACTGGGAACCGAGCCTCTGCAGTTGTATTCCCAGCCCTGGGAAAGCAGCGTGGGCTAGTGGTTGGAGAGGGCAATTGGGAGGCTGAACTCCTGGCTGTGGAAGGGGAATGGTTAGATGATGCCGCCCGGGTTCCACTCGCCACTGACTTTGTCGTGTGACCTTTGCCACGTCAATTTCCTTCTCTTGGCCTCAGACCCTTCCCTAACTCGCGGGAGTGTAACTCACTACCTGCCCTGTGATCCTGCAGCAAAAGGTGCTAGGGCCGAGTGGAGAGTTAACAGGGGGAGCGGGAAGGAAGCAAAAGAGCAAAACCGTGGGTTAAGCCAGCCCAGCAGGGGGAGAAAACACTCTACTCCTTGGGCATTGCTGTTGTCGGGGGATCAGCCACTTCCGTGGCCCTGGCTGGAGTGTTTCCTCTGCTAGGATCACATGTGATCTGTGCCAACAGGTAGCTTAGCCATGGGCCATGACCCCCTGGTGCTAGGTGCAGTATAGACCCAGCACATACAGTCCCTGCCCTGCTCCCTCGGACCCACCACCGGCTGTTTCTGTGCCACGCTGGTCCAGAAGCAGCAGCTGCTGGCGGCATCTCCGTTGCCTCCAGGAGGCACTGGGCTAGTTCACTGCAGGAGGAGAGCCACTCACCCTTCCTGCCTCTCTCCCCTCGCAGGTGGGCACCTGGAGCTGGGTGAACAGGTACTGCCTCGACCCGCCCTGCGGATTCCTGCACAGTCAGTTAAACTGGGCGAGTGGGGCCGGGGGTGGATCTCACTGCATGGTTGGGGAAGGAAGGGAGGATAAAGCTGAGTACAGTGTAATGTTCCCTGGGATTTTCAGGTGGGATGGGGGCTGTTTAGAGCCAGGGGCTGCCTCGGGGCTTCTGAGTTCTCAGTCTGACTCTGCCGCATAGCTGAGTCACTTCCCCTCTCTGTGCCTCAGTTTCCCTATCTGTAAAGCGGGGCAATGCCTGCTTCCTGGGCAGGAGGTTGGGAGGCTCTTGAGGTGTGTGGCTAGGGGGCACTGTTACAATGTAATGTGGGACCAGGCTGGAGTCCAGAGCCCCCGGTGCTGCAGAGCGTGAGGTGCCGGCTGTGATCTCGCTGTCCCTTGACCATAGTTGCTGGAGGCGGGCCTGCGGGAGCTGCAGGAGGAGACAGGCTTGCAGCTGGAGCCAGGCAGCTTCTCCTGGAGGATGCTGGGCCTATGGGAGGTAACTTCCTGCTTTCCTGGCCTGGGTGCTGTGCAGCCACTCGGCCTGTGTTTGTATCCGGCTGCCGGAGGGGCACACACCAGGACTCGTCCATGCTCAGGGGAGGGATGTAAAATCCTGTTTAAAACGTGAACCGGTTAAAGAGTATGGTTAACCGGCCCGTGGCGTTTACATCCCTCGCTCAGAGCTCCGGGGGGAGCCAACGGCCCCGTCCCGTAACCAGCCTAGTGCCAGACATGCAGCCATAACCTGCTGTCCCACGGTTGGGGTTCATGCTGGCGAAAGGGCTGAATCCCCACTGCCCTTGCAGGGCCTTCCCAGGGATTGGCAGGACGTACGCCTGGGTTGAGAAGAGCACGTCCCCCATCGGCGGCTCTCGGGAGGGGCGGGGACGCAGCGCCGTGCTCTGGGTGGCCCTACATCGGTGACCGGCCCAAGCTGGGACTAGATGGCAGGGGGTGGATCACTCAGCTCATTGCCCTGCTCTGCTCGGTCCCGCTGAAGCAGCTGGCACTGGCCGCGGTCGGATGTCAGGACATGGGGCTAGATGGGCCGTTGGTCTGACGGCCCCTGGCTGGTCGTAGGGGGCGGCTGGAGAAGGAAGCACCATTGGTCTTGGCCACGTCAGACGTTCCCTCCTCCCCACTGCTAAACGCTGGGGCGTCGGCCCAGCCCTCCTGATACACATGCAGTTGAGGTGGAACTAGCTGGAGCAGCCCCCAGAGCTAGCTGCATTTCACTGCTGTTCCACATAGCGCGCTAGAGGCCTTCAGGCTGAGCGTTCACCCGTTTAGCCCTCGGTTTCTGCCCGGGACGGCGTGGGGGCGGGGGGGCAATTCAGTGCTGCCTGATCCTAGCTCCTTGTTCTCCCTGCGTGCAGTCCGTTTACCCTCCCCTGCTGAGCCGAGGGCTGCCGCGGCGGCACCACATCATTGCCTACCTCTTGCTGCTTTCCACCCAGGGCCACCAG